TGTGTGGCTTTTTTTGTTTGTTTTTTGTTTGTTGTTTTAAGACTTGTAACCAAGCTGGAAAGTTGGTGCTTGGAAAACGTAACTTAAATATTAGTTTCCTGTGAATAAACACACTGAATCAATGCAGTAACTACAAATGTTCTCAGGCTTTTTCAAACTTGGATTGTTTTGGCAGTGATGCATCTGAAAGTGGAAAACCTGTCCAGAGGCCTCTGGATTGCACTAGACTCTAATAGCCAATTTTAGCAGCCCCCAATAAAGGTTTTTGTAGAAGTAATTAAAAGCCTTCTTTTCCCAGATAGCAATGCTAGCCTGGCTTTTGAGTCCCTTAAATCTAGTTTGTCCTCTAGTTTGTCATGAAGTGCTGGTATTTGTTTGGACTGTCTGCAAACATAAGTCATCTGATAGAAATTCACAGTTTAGAGGGTTGAGTGGGATTTTCAAACAGATGGCATTGCCTGCATTGGAATCTTTTAAAACTATTTTCTTTCCTTTGATGGCACTCCAGAGAGTCTCTTGCTAGAACAAGCAAGAGGTGACACATTATTTGAAGTCTACTTCCACTAGTTATTGGATGGGAGACAAGGTTTATATGGCAGCCTCTTCAAAGGGTCTTTCTAGTTTGAGCTCTCTAGACTCCTACTTGGTGAACAGCCAAGCAGAAGTTGAGATAAGAACTGGTAGACTTTGGCATGGAGGATGAGGAACAAGCAAACCGCTTCAGGCGAAAATGTAGAAGAAGCTGTTGGGCATCTATATAAATAGCCAAACAACTCTTCTATCTGGCTTTTAAATCCCTCTTGCAACTTTTCTTGCAGGTGAATTATTGGCGATCCAATGAGTGTAATATGATCAATGGGACTTCTGGAGAGATGTGGCCTCCTTTCATGACTCCTTCCTCTTCTCTAGAATTTTATAGCCCTGATGCCTGCCGGTAAGATTCTTAAATTTTGTTTTCTACACTGTATCTGCCTGTCTATTCATGTGACTGGAAGTCCAGATCCTTCAGTTCCAGGATACAATGTGTGTGTGGAAGATATGGGTGATCCTGTTTAGTTAGCTGACTATCTTCATTACAACTCACCTACCCTCAAATTCTGACCTGCAGACCTAAACAGTCTAGTTTTTCTGGCCAGGTCTTACCATCAAAGGATATGCTGTTCTCAGTAAGTGAGTTTGCACTTGCTTACTGCCTCTTCAATCAAAGGTGAGCAGATATTGGCCTCCCCAAAGGGGGTGGGGAAAGGATCTGGAAATTGTGCATGTCAGAATCAAGGCTTCCTAAGTCCATCCCTTGTGGTATACAGGCTAACATTCAATCAAATGTTACAGAATCCCTGTGTTCAAAGACTCAAACAACCTAGAAGATGCAGATGTAGCTAATCCAATGGCTGCAAGCTGAAGCTAGATAAACTCAGTTTGGGAATAAGGTGCAAACTTTAAACAGGGTTCTCAACCCTTACAGCCTTTTCATAAAGGTGGTTGTGGCTTCTCTGACTGGAAACTTTTTAAAAACCAAAACTGGGTGTTTTTCTCTTTACTCAATTTCAAACTGGGGTGAATACAGGGAAGGCCTATGCCTGGTGTAAGGCAGGAGATCTGGTCACTGACTTCTGGCTTCAGTGTCTATGAACTCTAGGACCATGAATTACAGAAGGAACATGATATATAAGAAGTATTCTATCTTTCTAACCAGCTCAAATACTCTAACTTCTGCCTTTGAATTGTTTCATGTATGTAAAGGGTTTCCAGCATGTTCTTTTGGGTATTACTGTAGTGACCTTTATTGTGAACAGTACTTGGAATAACATAATATAGTAATGCCTATGGACTCTGTGAAATCTGCTGAAAATCAAGGAGATTACTTCCATAGCAGTAGAGGTTACAGCTATTGGTATAAAATAAAGGATTTGTAACATGCATTGCCTGCATTGTTGGGGCAGAGGAGTGGGTTTTCTCCCCCACCCCACCCCCCCAGAAACTGCAATATGCATGACCCATGCTATGTGAAACATTAAGGACTCTCTGGCAGCAAACAGAATTGACTGTTTGGGTTTTTAACTTTCCTCAAATATCAGGTCAACGAGTTAACTAAGCCAAAGGCCAGTGCTGTCCCGAGGCAACCCACCACCCCATTTCTTCTCCAGCCCCGTTCCACTCCTCCAAGCAAGACCAGCCAGGGATTACAAGGGACTGGGGCACTCTGCTTCCTGCTTCCAGTGCAGCAGGCTAGCAGAGGGTGACAAAAAAGGGAGCAGGCTTCCAGGTCACTCTGGTTCCCACTGCTATGGTGAGTGCAGGAGGGAGAGGATGGCTCCTACTGCCACCCCATGGCAGGCTTTCCAGATTTCCTTGGGCCCCATCCATAGGCTGGCTGAGGTCTGAGTGGGATGGCTCTGACAGACTGCAGAGTTTCTTCTGTAAGAATGTATTAAGCAATACCAGGAGAACCTAGTGCGAAGGACACAAGGTTGGGCACCTGAGTGAGTAAGAGTTCCAAGACTTGGCTTGTAGGAATGAGCAAGGATAATCTTATGGTCGTTATCATTCTCTAACACCACAGTCCTCTTCTAAGGATGAGCAATATCCTGCAGGCTAAAGTAGCTGTCTGTTTCTCTTGGGACTCTAGACTCTGCAGCAACCATTCATCACCAGTGCTCCCTCTAATCTTTTCCATCCATGTATGGAATACATTTTGTTAGGTGCACTGACCTGTGCAGATGTGCACCACCAGTAGAAACATGTGCTATGGGCGTTTGGCCAATCAGCTGGTAACACCTGAATCTCCCTTGGTGGCTGCCCAAGTGCTCAGCTTACTGGGAACACTGTTCCCCACTTCCAAATAGCTGGATCTCTCCGCATATGGGAGCGTGTATAATCTAGAGTTAGCCTGGTCATGGTGCTGTCAGACTCAGTAAGGAAATGACATTGGTCACTTCCCCTGCAGTCCTATGGTCTTGTTCTGATGGCTTTACAAATCAAAATTAACACCGTGCCTAAGTAGAATGTCTCCTAGTGCACAGCAGGGTATTCATGAACCTTGCGGGCTGTGGTCTATGGGGACCACTTTCCTTTTTCTGCCGGAGGAAAAAGCCTGGCTACCTAGAAAAGGAGAATGCAGGGTTAAGTACCTCCTGAGCTGGGGACTGGCGATGACGTGTCTGGTTCTGGAACAGCAGTACTCTGAGCAGGAGAGGAGGATTCTAACCCCTAGGAACATATGGGAAACTACATCTGATGAAGTGGGTCTTTGCCCGCGAAAGCTTATGCTCCAACACTTCAGTTAGTCTATAAGGTGCCACAGGACTCCTCGCCGCTTTTGCAGATTCAGACTAACACGGCTACCCCTCTTGATACATGAGGAAAGGCCTGGAATCTCTTCCATCCTGTTCACTTCCATTAAGTGCAGCAATGTGTGTTGCCTGATTCCCCTCTTACTGGAGTGCCCCATAGACTGTTTGTGCCACTGCTTAGGATCCCTTACAGCAGGGTTTCCTGAAGTTGTGCTCTGTGCAGTGGGTCTATGGTCTCAACAGGAAAATGACAGTTGTACGACCGTTACTTTGTTGCTAATTTTCTCTGTTTTTCTTGGAGAAAAATAAGACCTAAAAATAGAATTTCAAAACGGTCTATTTGGGTATTTATTGAATTAAATACCCAGAAGAGTCTCGATTATCCGACCGAAACAGGACCAAAGGATGGTTGGATAATATCGAAAATACCTTGCAGGGGTCCAAGGTATTTTCCCTGTCAGCTGCCACTCTGCAGATGCTCAGCTGTTTCATTGGGAGCCACACTGCCCCCGACCTCCTTGATCTCTCCCGACCAGCTGTGGGGCAGCACGACTCCTAGGAAAGATAGGGGAGGCTGGGGGCAGCAGGCTAGCCGGGGGCAGTGCGCTTGGCCAGAAGGGATAGGGGAGATCGGGGCACCCCATGACCTTCAGGGGGTGGGTGCAGCTGGGCTCTGGCATCCTGCTGCATGGCCCTGCTCCCTCTTCCCTCTTATCTTACCATCTTTGTCTCTACACTACCCAGTGCCTTCCCTTCTGCGCTCTGTTCTGCCAGCTCTGCTGCCCAATTGCCTTGGGTGGCCACAGGCAGGTCAGATAATCGATACTCTACTGTATCACTATTTAAAGGGCTATACCAAGTTTAGGATCCCGTAGGGGCACCACAGCTGAAAGTTTGGGAAACCCTGCCTTAGGAGAATATCCCCCCCTTTTACAGTGGGGCATTCCTCTGAGAGCCTTCTCTTAAGTATAAGACTAAACAAGGTAGAGCCAATAAAGCCCATCAGAGGCTAGTGACACCAACCAGTAGCTCACCCAATATCCGTTAGTCATCCATAAGTCGCTGTTTCCTTCCCTCTAATTTGTCACTAATTCCTCTAGATCCATGAAGCTGGTGTATGAGCAGTCAGGAGTATTTAAAGGGGTGCCAACCTATCGATTTGTGGCTCCGAAGACTTTATTTGCTAATGGCACAGACTATCCACCAAATGAAGGCTTCTGCCCTTGCAGGGAATCTGGAATCCAGAATGTCAGCACCTGTAGAATGAGTGAGTCTTGTATGTCGGTGTGTCTCCAATAGTGGTGGGAGACAGTGTTCTGCAATACGGTCTATTCCCTTCCCATTGGGGAGAATGCTCCTTAGACAGGGCTAAATTCAAGCCATAACCAATTATGCTTCTATAGCTCCCTTCAGGCAAATCTTTGATCTTGCTGCTGCTTGTTCCAGTGGTTTTCAAACTTTCTCATGACCCTGCTGAAGAAAATTGATGTTCATGACTCAACATAACTTGACTAGCATGCAGGCTGCAGGGCAGGACTGAGGATGAGTTTTGGGCTATAGGAGGGAGCTCTGGTGTGGTGGTGGGGATCAGGACTGGGACAGGAGGGGGCTTATTTGAGTTGCACCTGGTCAGCAGTGCTGCAGGCATGCTAAGTTGGGCTGGCACCACCGACCATGTTGCACCCCAGAAGCAGCCACAAGAAGGGTCCC